TCTCACCCCTGTTTTTAGAACCCCAAGACGAACACAAAGAACGCCGGGTTCACGAAGGAGGAGAGGGAGGGGTTCACAACTCTCCTCGATAAAGGATTTGTTGACACTTTCAGGTTTCTATTCTTACAGCTGTTTCATTTCAGTATTTTTTTGATTTTAAACCCCTTAAATTGATTTATTAAATACTAGCTGAAGAGCCCAGCGTTGCCCGTGGAAAAATAAATTTAAAAAAAAAATTCTGAAATAAGTGTCCACAAAAATGCAGCCCAATCGGTCTAGCCGTTTTGCCAGCTATAGGCAACATATATATATATATACGAGTGTACTGTAAATTTTTAAGAATTTTTTGAACAGATAAATTCTTTATATTTTTTCTTTATTTTTTTTGCTTATTTTTGTGCTGAAAAAAATTATAAGGTTTTCATAATCGCTCGTTAGAAAACAGTATTGTGTATTGAGAATAACAAGTAAATTTTTAGCAGGTTTTGGAAATTACATTAATTCTTTGTGGATTCTGGATAGTATTCAATGTTTATGGACAGGAATATGATGGGAACTTGCGGATTAAAAATCATTTTACCTGAATTTGAGATTGAGTTGGAATATTGATGGAGGATGAAAATGGATTCAACTTTTTCCAGATAAGCCACCAGCCACTAACATTAATTTTTATTCAAATTTAAAATAATCCTAGATAGATCCCTATTTAACATAATTATTATCATTCAACCTAGAGTGAGAGTATCATGTCCTGTGTTATGTTATGAATGTCAAAATGACTTAACCAATTGAGTCCAATTATATGCTTTAATGTATGGCCAGTAAACATTGAAAAATGTTGATTAAAGAAAATGTTGATTTAATTTTGCATATGCCCCAAATTACAAAAATAAATAGAAAAATTCGTAGTTCACGCAAGGGGGTAATAAGAAAAAAATGGGAATTTATAGCAACATTCAAAACCTAAAATTTTAAAAGAAAAATGTCAGAAAAGACATTTAATTATAATTATTTTAAATAAGAATTATAATATTTGTTTGATCCGATAAGCAAAAGTAATGCTTGGCATCGGTTTAATTCTACTAAACCTAAAAATGACGCTCAGCCTATTTTGTTGATGAATAAATGGATGCCTAAGAGAATCTCCGTAGTTGGTCAGCTTGGTTTCATCAATAGCTGTTACATCAACAGCTAAGATATGACTACAGTTTTCCTAACAACAAAGTATGACTAAAAAATATTAAATAAATTGTTATTAGCTTGATTGCTTCTGACAGGGGTGTACTGTATATTGTCATAAAGGGAGTGTTTGCGAAAAATGAGAGCTTTTGATCGCTACTAGTATCTGACTTTTATCTGTTGCGTCCATAAGGAGAAAATTGTTAAACACGACTCATGTTGAAGAGTCCATACAAATTCAGAAAGTTAAAACATTCAACTCGGATGTTAAAATAATCAATTTAATTCCAAACAAATCATCCAGGTATATAAACCAATAGTCATCGATTATTTTCTACAGCATGAGTCGTTTTTAACAATTTTCTCCTTATAGACGCAACAGATAGAAGTAAGCTGTCAGATTAGTAGCGATCAAAAGCGCTTATTTCTCGCCGTAAGCCTATACCCCCGTTCATTTTTCGCAAACACTCCGTTTAAACCATCATCCCTCCCCCCTTAAAAAAAATTCCCCCCCCCCCCTCCCTTATCCTCCGAATGTTAGGTAAACTTTTTCGCTTAAAAAGATTCAATAAAATTTTGATGTCCACAGCGTCGAATATAATTCCTAAAAAATATACCCCTGACTTTTTATGTACTTTTTTCAGTTCTTTTTAAAATCCATAAGAGATGTTTGTATTCGAAATCCCAAAAACATTGATTTTTTTATGCCAATTGCCGCCCGGAAGATAAATTAACTAACAAACAAAAAACAAACAAAAAACATTTTTTTTAAAGTAATAAATATATTTTTTTTTAAATCATGTGTTCTGTAGTTTCTGCTTCTGCGATGAATGTAAACAAAGGTAAGGCTAGGCAGTAGGCAACAATGCGTGTGATTATATTCCTATTCTTGTAATCTAACGATTAATAAGTAAAACTTAAGGTAAACACAACAGTGAACAAAAAAGTAAATAATGCATGAATCTACTAATGAAGCAATCATCCAATCAATGAGTTAATGTAATTTTAAAGAAATACCTTGAGCATAATGTCTCCAGGTACATTATTTACATAACATCCATCCAACAGCATATGGCCATCCTATAAAACAGCTGAATAATATACAAAAAAAAAATAAATCTGATAAAGTTCAGAAACATATTTTCTTAATAAATAAATATTATATAAATATATATATTTAGGTTATAAGAATGCATCTTATATTCATAATCTACAAATATATGAATCGTTTAAACAAAGGTCATTATCATCATCCAAAGGTTAAATGCGTGCATCTAGTTTAGACTATAAGACTAAAAGAATTTTTTTTTTAAATTATTAAAAAATGCTAAAATTAAGCAAAAATCTGAAAATGATGTAAAGAAAAAATTCATTTAAAAAGTTGTTTGAAAAACTAGAAAACCTTAGGATCACAAATAGGAGGCAGAATCCAAGCATAGCTCATACTGGCCCGACAGTAGCGCCAAAGAGTACCTAGCGGGAAAAATTAAAATTTATGTACATATGAATAAGAATATGAGTATATTTTTCACCCTTTTTGTGTATTTTTCTGAACAAACGATTTCACTGAACTTAAAGTTTTGATGAACGATCCTAAAGTTAAAAAATGAACGATCTAATTGAAGAAGAAAAACACCTGAAGTATGAACTCTCTCTTGTGATAATGTTATATCCGTGGATACACAGTAGAAAGGTAACCAGAGATCCTCAATCTGGATTTCTATAACAAGGATTTGTTAATTATTTCTGTTAATCAAACTCTTATATCATCTTGTACGTACGTACTAAGTATAGAAGATGTTCAGTGAAGTAGAAAATGAGAATATTTTGTCTCAAAACTAGACAAAGTAATCTGGAAACCAGAATTATTTGTCTGGAAACCAGAGCTATTGGTCTGGAAACCAAATTTATTTCTCTGGAAACCAAATTTATTTGTCTGGAGACCAGATTTATTTGTCTGGAAACCAGATTTATTTGTCAGGAGACCAGATTTATTTGTCTGGAAACCAGATTTATTTGTCAGGAGACCAGAGCTAATTGTCAGGAGACCAGATTTATTTGTCAGGAAACCAGATTTATTTGTCAGGAAACCAGATTTTCTATCTGGAAACCAGATTTTCTATCTGGAAACCAGATTTTCTATCTGGAAACCAGATATTCTATCTGGAAACCAGATTTTCTATCTGGAAACCAGATTTTCTATCTAGGAAACCAAATTTTGAGTCAGGAAACCAGATTTATTTGTCTGAAAACCTTATTTATTTGTCTGAAACCAGATTTACTTGTCTGGAAACCAGATCCATTTGGCTGGAAACAAAATTTTTTGAGTCTGGAAACCAGATTAATTCGTCTGAACACCAAATATTTTTAGCTGGAAACTAGATTCTGAGTCTACAGACCAGAATTGTTAGTCTTGAAACCGCATTTTACAAGTCAAAAAAAACTAAAATAAAAAGTAAAATTACCTTTATCAAAAGTTTCTGTGAGTGTCCAGTTAAAATATCCCCCAGTAAAAAGACTCGTCATGGGGTAGGTAAGATCCAGCAGACCAGAATAACGGGTCATGTTATAAAACCATTTTCTAGACTTAGCGGTCATCTCATCAATATCTCGGTGAATAGCCCACAGAGCGCCCATGAAAGCTCCAATACTCACACCTCCAACCTTATCTATAGGGATTCCAGCCTCAAACATTGACCTATAATTTCAAATAAATTAATGTTTTTATTATTATCCTTTACATAATATCAATGAAATTAGTTTTTAAAAGTCGACTATTTTATTAAATTAATCAATGCTTCACCAACTCAAATCAATTAATAAGTCAAAAATAATCGTTCTTTTTAATATTGGCAATTTTATTCGTTTTGTCCATTAAAGACCTCATTTACTACTATGCAAATATCATCATACCTAAGCATGCCTAGATGGGCGGCCCCTCTTGCCCCGCCTCCTCCCAGCACTAAACCAATACTTTTACCCTAAATTAGCAAACTTTAAGGAACTGCAGATATTATTTCAATTGATCTTTCATGTATTTTTATAGAGTGGCATGACCGGTATACGATGTCGCAAACCTTAGAACCCATGATTTGCGAGCTCAAAATTGATCTTTTAGTCACAGCTCTCTGTAAATAAAAACAATGCAGAAAACTGTAAGAATCCAACACGTTATAGGATAAAAAATGGCATTATCTTATTCGTTATTACTCAGATAGAGGTCTAACATTGAGAGTCAACTAAAATTACGTCAGTAATATTGTTAGTGTAAAAAGTGGAATATAATCGAATGAATATTGACCTGAATATGACAAGCTAGGCGATTATAATCTGATGAATATTTACCAGAATATCACAAGCCAAACGATTATAATCTGATGAATATTGACCTGAATATGACAAACCGGATAATCATAATCTGATGAATGTTGACCTGAATATAAAAAACCAGATGATTATAATCTGATGAATATTGATCAAAATATGACAAGCCAAACGATTATAATCTGATGAATATTGACCTGAATATGACAAACCGGATAATTATAATCTGATGAATATTGACCTGAATATGACAAAACGGATAATTATAATCTGATGAATATTGACCTGAATACTAATCTGATGAATATTGACCTGAATATGACGAGCTAAACGGATAATACCTGAATGAATATTGACCTGAATATGACAAGCTAAACGGGTAAAATCTGAATTAATATTGACCTGAATATGACGAGCTAAACGGGTAAAAT